GCTGTAAATTTTCCTGTCATCTGGTTTGAAATTCAAGAACGTAGTTTTTAATATCTGAGACAATGGAATTTAGTTGAATGTAGTGCAAAGGTAGAGTTGGAATTTCATAAGCTCACAGAAGGGAGAGAAAGCCATATGATTTTTAAACTACTACCATGTAATTTACTATAAAGTGAAAAAGTACGTTACTCTGCAGCATTTTTATACATATTATATTTTTATTCCTCTACTTAATAAAAGGAAATGTCACCTTAATGTTGGTGCAGGGTTGAGCACCTAAGAAGTTCAAAATCAAGAATCAGTGAGAGAAATTTAATCCTGCCTATCACTTGCAAATGCTCCTTCGGGAAATTTCCTGTTCATGTTTTTACTGATTATAACACATTTTAGTTTTCTCCTGAAGCGGCTTTGCTTTTTCTCTCTCTTTCTTTTTAAGGAAACACAATAATCGCAGACAGTGTTCCTCAAGTGTCCTAATGGGGTAGATATCACCAGAAAGCTCCATTTGTCCTCACGGTGCAAAGCTTTAACCTGCTTTGGAGACTTATCTCTGTTGCTAGGACAACTCACTTTCTCCCCGGTTCCATTTGTGCTCTGGCTTCCACGGTGTCCTTATTTTGATGTCTTACCTACATCTGAAGTTTACTGTTCCACCCTAGCCCATTATCTTCAGTGGCGACCAACCCTCTCCTCTAATTCTCACACTACCTTCAGGAGCTCCACTTAGGACCCTGAGAAGTGTCATCTGGGACCATTTTTCACCTTTCCCTTTGGAGCACCCCACAATCAGGGTCAAAAAGTCTCCAATCTTTGTGGGACTCGTGGAGCTCTCTGGTGTCACTAGTTTTCCCTGGGGTCTTGGGCAGAAAGGTGTTGTCTCAGGGAGTCTAGAGATGTTCCTTTAATCTCACTCCGTGCCCATATGACTTGGCTGATCACCCAGAGTTCATTTATTGGAACTTGAATTCCTCAGTGCGGCAGTGCTGGGAGGTGGGGCTGAGTGGGAAATGTTTGCCTCCCGAGGCTTGAGCTCTCATGAATGGATTAATGCCGCTCTCCCTGAGTGAATTCTGCTCTCGGGGGACGAAGGAGCTGCCGTGACAGCAGTTTGTGGTAAAGCGAGGCTGCCCGTTGTGCCTCATCTTTTGCAGATACACTCACATTTCCTTCCCCTTTGCCCTGAGTTGAAGCACCTAGGCCCTCCCCAGATGTAACTGCCCATCTTGGACATCCCAGCTTCCAGAATCATGAAACGAAACAAATCTTGCTCTTTTATAAGTTGTATAATCTTAGATATTTTTATAACAATAGAAAATAGACTAAGGCAGTGCCCCTTAGCATCTACGCATCTCCCACTGCCCACGGCTTTGGCTTCTGCATGAGGTTGGCTGGTGAGAGTTACTCCTTGTGCCTAAGCCTCCAACATTGCTCTCCTTGGTGGACGAGCCTCAGCTTTGCCTCCCCGAACAGCGGGATTGGCTTGGGCAGATTTAGTGTGTGGCTCTAGGATTCCTCAGCAGGCCATGCCCTGCCTTCTCATGTACCATGATCCTATGCCCACGGTCCTACCTCCCCAAGCCCTGTCTTCCTTGGAAATAGTAAAAGTCACGTGTACACTTCAAGCTGCTAAGTTCTGAAGTACTTTACTATTAAAGCAATTTCAACTACAACAAGACTTGCAAAAAACATACAATAAAATTAGCCACTTTTCACGAATAATAGTCAGAACAATTGCCTTCATTCAGAAAATATGTCCTGGAGAGCTGGCAGGTGCAGGGACTGGGCTTGATGCTGGGAAGTCCTATGGGATGTAAGACCAGAGTGTTTAAACTGAAACTTGAAAACTGAGCATGTGGGTGGGGGCAGGGAAGCAAAAGGAGTGGTGTCTGTCCCGTTGCCTGGTGTCTGTCCCGTTGCCTGGACTTGTTGATCTTGTAGAAACTTCTGGTAGAGACGGCTGTGTAAATTAACATTTTCTCCTTTTCTTGGCAATCACTGTAACAACACAAAGGAAAATTATTTAACTATCTCCTTTTCGTGTGCACAAAGCTAAAAACAAACACACAGATGCAGCCTTCAGACTCCAAAATATATGAAAGAGACGTGAAAAGGAACAGAAGGTGTGTGGGTGGGAGGAAGTGAAAGGGAAGAAATGCGGGAGAATAGAGAGGCGGGCTGGTGGTATCAGGTCTCAGAAAATGCCAAAGGAAAATATTTCTTGATGGCACGGAGCTCTTTCTCTGAAGCAGAATTCTGTGTCTTCTGTCTGGATCTGATTTAGTGCAGAGCAGTAGAAGAGATGGGACCACACAAAGAAGCACGCAGACATGCCATCTTGGACAGCAACCTCCATCTGGGTGGCAGGGAGGGGAGCAGCCTTTGGTCACCGAAGCTGCCAGCTGGAAGACTCCTCGCAGTTTTCCCTCTCATCCACAAGCAGCTCTTAAATAGAGCTGGTCCAGGGAAATTCAGCAATGAGTAATAAAAATGAATTAGTGCAGTATCGATATAAAGGCTCCGTAAGAAAAATAGAGACGTAAGTAGCAATGGGAAACTTATCTGAAACCTGTTGCTATCAAGAACTTAAAAATTATGACTCAGCACTCTGTCATGAATTTGTAAAAAAGTGAAACTTTTGCCTCTACGGTAGAAACTCCCAAAGCACACAGGTGAGAAATCAGACCTCAAATCACAGAATTGTGATTTACAAAACTAAACACCCAAGCAATGAAAAATTAAGAAAACTGAATACATACATCAAATATATGGGAGGAAAAAGACTACCGTACCAGTTGATATAAATGACCTTAATGACCCAGTAAAGAACATTTTCAGCTTTACTTAAATGGTGGCTCTAGACAAGAGCCATTCTTAAATAAGTGACTCAAGATTAAAAATAAACAAATGGGTACAAATGTACTGGCAAATGAAGTCAGTATGAAAGAAGGCATTATGGTCGACACATTGGGTCAACTTGAGAAGTTTAACTAAGACACTCAGCAGGAAGCCGGAATCCTTACTTTGTAGAATCCTAGTCCTGTGCAAGAGGAGGGCACAGAGGTTGTGTGAGTGCTACACTTGTCCTGGGGGTGGGTAGCCTGCTTATAAGGGAGAAGAGGCTCTCTTTTCCCCATCCCCTTTTGCTCTGGCTGCTTTTTTTTTTAATTTTAAAGAGAATAAAACACAACAAAGCAGAACAAAAAAAATCAGAACAAAACAATGTAAGCAACACAAGACTTCACAAGACAACAGGAAATCAATATGGCTACCATAGTGTCTCATTTTCTTTGAAATAGTTGTCCATACCTTAACACACAATACCATCAAACAAAACAAAATAGTATAAAACCCATTTTAAAAAGAATAAAAGCATTATGGGACTTCCAAAAAAGACAATAGGAAGTCGCCAATGGCTACCATAGTGTCTCTTGTTCTCTTCAAAATAGCTGTCCATAGCCTCATACACAATGAAATCAAATAATAGAAAAGAGACTAAAACCAAACAGAACCAAAGCATGAAAGCATTGCAGGACTTCAAAACCAGATATCAGGAAATTAACAATGGTTACTAAAATGTCTCATTTTCTTCAAAATAGCTGTTCATACCATTACATGTAATAAAATCAAACAAAATGAGGAGAATAAAACCAATTACACAAAAGAATGAAAGCATTATAGGACTTCAAAACAAGATAATAGGAAACCCAACCATGATTACCATAATATATCCCATTATGTTCAAAATAGCTGTCCATACCATCAGACACAGTAAAATCTAACAAAACAAGACAGAACAGAACCAAACTGAAGGGGGTTCATGAACAATATAGGAATCCAAGCAGCCAAATTAATAAATTTAGAATTTTATTAGCTGAGCTTAGTGACCATCTGTGGACCCCTGTTTCAGAGTCCAAACGAGGGGCACTGAACTGGAAAGTTACAGAGCTTTTAAAACAGAAAACCACAAGAAGACATCCTATTGGAAACAATTCAGCTAGAATCTTACATTAAGTTTTGGTTGACACCTGTATCCTGCTTCTTTGTTGAGCAGATTAATTTTTCTCTTGTGGATGTAGCTCATTCTGCTTTTCTCATATGGGACTTGTACCCTGAGTAATTTTTCACTCTTCTGGGTCAAATGCAGGGTACAAGATGGCATTAGTTATGCCAAGCTACAACACAAACCTAACAAAATTGTGAAAACATTACGAGAGTTCAAGATGAGACAGTAAGAAATCAACATTGGTTATCACCCTCCCCTCCTGGGTGTTTCCTCCCCTATCAGTTTTATAATATCTGTTATGTTTTTGGATCCCGCTAACTCCTTCTGCTTTGTATGCTAGTGTTCACTCATATGAGTTCAAACTGTTTTGCCCATAAACGCGACTTTCAGTTGCATCCATTTACCTACAAGACATACTACTACTTTATACTACTTTATAGCTGGGTAGTTTTCCATTGTATAAAATACCATATCTTTTTTATCCACTCTGGTTAATGGGCAAGTTACCCTGGTTTTTTTCTGGTCTCCTGTCACATGGAACAACTGTTTTCTCTTCTTTGATTTTCAGTCTATGAATTTCATTTTGAGTTAAATGTGTTTCTTGTATACAGTATATTAATGGATCTTGTTTCTTGGTCCATTCTCCCTGTGATTCTTTTTACTGCTGAATCAAGGCCATTTACATTAATGGTTACAACTAGCGTCCACTGGTTCATTGCTACAATGCTATCCTCCTTTTTTTGGTCCTCCACATTTCCCATTTCCCATTCATTCAACTGCCTGTCCTGTTGGGTGATCCCCCTCTGCTGCTGTTTCTGGAACCATAGTCATCTTTATCTCTCTCTAGAACATCCTTCAGCACTCTCTGTAAAGCTGGTTTGGTGGTCATAAATTCCTTCAACTGTTCTTTATCATGGAAGAATCTTATTTTTCCAACAATTTATGAAATACAGTTTTGCAGGGTACATGAATCTGAGTTTGAAGTTTTTTCTTTCAGAATTTGAAACACTTCACTCTAAACTCTGGCTGCTTTTACTGGCTGCTGTCTTGATGTGTCTCCTCTCAGCCACACCAACCTGCCGTGGAGCCAGCTGATTATGGACTGAAACCTCCACAAACAGCTAAGTAAATCTTTCATTCCTTCATTTTGGGTGTCAGATATATCATTCCAGCAACAAGAAAAAAGTAACCAGGACAGAAGGGATCAAGTTCTTAATATCACCTAAATAAGGTGCAGACTCAAAAAGAGGTGTTGGGCTCAAGAAAAGATTTTCTACTACTAAAGCATACAACAGTGTCGTAAAGATTCAAGGTTATGACATCATGCACCAGAATAACATAGTCTTGGTATGCACAAAGCAGACATAGAGCTCATTAAAGAGAAAAAGGTGAAATACTGTAGGAGCCATGACAAATGTGGAGGCCAGCAGAATAAGGCTTGCAGCCCACTGCTGCTTAGTGACCCTGTGTTCTTCCCCTGGCGGAGCAGGAAGAGAGGCAGGTGTAATTACACCCACGCACACTCAGCCTGTAGCTAGGTGGGGGCTCTGTTGTGAAGGAGGGACTGTTGAGTCAAGAAAAAAAATAAACAAATAAAACTCACATTTAAAATTAAACAATACAAAACAAAAACAAAAACCTACCACTAGAAAATTTTAAACATTTTCCCTTTAATAAATCATGAGTCAACGAGAAAACAGACACCTAAGTGGTCTTCGCATGTGTGCAGGACGAGAGTGGGGCTTATTCCGGTAGCTCCATGCCCAGATTGCTGCCTTTCAGCGGGTGCATCCTTTCAGCTCTGGGAGAAGCCTCCTGTTTTACACATCCTTCTCCCGCGGCTCTCAGCGCATGAGCCTCCAAGTTTGGGCATCAATCATTTGTCTCTTAACAAATTATTCCAAAGTAATAGGAAAGGTGTAAAGGAATGCACATTTCGTTGCGTTGTGCACTTTCCCCTGCTTTCTTGGCGGCCTTACTGCCTGAACAAGTGCACTGGTAATTGTAGTTTAATTACTTCCTGTGCTGCCATTAGGTAACCATCATGGTAACGGGGCACAGATTTTGCTATTACTTTTTTTTAACTTAGAAATGGACCACAACATCCCCCCCCCCGCACACACACACACACACACACACACACACACTAGTGTGTTTATAGTTAATGTGATCAAAAATACAGTAAGTGCTTAATTTATATTAAAGAACAATTTATTGCAGTAAAAGACACATTGCAATGAACTTCCCTCAAAATTCTGCCCCTTGTTTAAAAAATGCTTATTTGTCATTCTTGCCTTGCTCTGAAGCTGCTCTGAAAGTCTTCTTTTATTCCTTTAGTTGCACTATTGTAGCTGCCTCAATGTCCTGAATAGATTCAAAACACTAGGTCTTCTACGCAGTGTACATGTCCAACAGAAGATGCATGGATAAGGAAAATGTGGCATTTATACACAGTAGAGTACTACATTCCCATGAAGAAGCATAAACTTGAGAAATTCGTAGGTAAGTAGATGCTACTTGAGAACACAATGTTAAATAAAATAAGTTTGACATGTAAGCTTAAATATCACATAGTTTCTTTTGTATGAGAAACACTAAACATAAATACTAATATATTCTGTACCTTGGTTCTGAACTTAATTCTTTCCATGATTCTGGTTGCCAACTGAATTGGTTATGAACCAAATCAATGGTTAGTTTCAATGTTGACCTTGTGGGGAAATGTCCACAGTAATACTTTGACTCACAAATTTAATTTTTCCACAATTCTAGTTGTAAACCTAGCTAAACGAGAACTCACTCAATTTTCCCCATAAGTTCTACAATGGACGCAATCACTTAATTTGGTGCTGGGGACTGAACTCAAGACCTCACGCTTGCCAGGCAGACACTTATACCACTGAGCTAAATCTCTAGCCCCTCAACCACTGAGTTTGATTTGGTTCTTGTTCAATTGAGTTTGCTACCAGAATTGTGGACAAAAATAAGTGTGTGAACCAAGGTATCACTGTATATATATATATATATATATATATATATATATGTATCTGTGTATCTATCTTTATATACATGTGTATATATGTGTACAAATGAAGGGCAAAGTAGGGTAGATATAGACCGAAAAAAGTTCCAATACTTTCCCAAATAATGTATTCTGTTGCTTCAAAAGCATATTAATAAATATTCTAATCTGTCTCATTTATATGATCAGTTTATTTTAATTCATTGAAAAGAAAGTTTTGTGGTATTATCTGCTTGTAAAACTTGTTTGAGTATATGTCTTGTACTCTGAAGATAATGCCACAGAGGATATCAACTGTTGTTATTTTCATATTTTTAAAGAAATCTTATTTTTCACAAAGTAAAAAAAAGAGTAAATTAAGTCACCAGATTAAATACTGAAAGAAAAATATTTGCACCTTTCAAGGACGTTTTGACATGAAAAGAGCCGGAAGTTACATCGCGCTGGACCTGAGGAAGGAAGGCATGAAGATTCGCCTGTGTGTGTCTTTACCGCCTGCCTCTCCTCCATGGCTCTCAGCCACAGCCTTTACTGAGTTTTTCATCACCTTATAAAGACACTCAGGAAACAGGACTTCTAGGGCCGCTCCAGAAAGTGACCAGAACAATGGGATAAACGTGTTCAAAGTGAGGCCAAGTCTTTTGAGCGATTCCTGGCAATGCGTCTTTTACTAAGTTTACTGTTAGGTGTGCAGATTATTATCAGCGTGTGCGATTTATTAGTACACAGTTCTTTTCTTTCTTTTTTTTGTCTTTTTTCCTTTTTATCGGTACCAGGGATCGAACTCACGACTGCCTGCTTGCAAGGCAGGCGCTTATGCAGCTGAGCTAAATCCCCAGCCCCTTATTAGTACACAGTTGTCTTCCGACCTCTCCCAGTTAGCTTTTAGCACACTTAAATTTGGTCTGCTGCTACTTGCTTAGTGCAGTTCTCAATAAATCCTGTTGAAGAAAAGAAAATTATTTTGAATTCTAAATCTGTGCAATTGGCCAACAGCTCAGCCCATGTTGGTTTCTAGTCCTTATTTAGGGTTCTGGGGGACTAGTTTGACCTCACTGACCTAGGTTTCCAGACTCTGTTTCCTCTCCCATTTGATTGATAAATACTTTCCTATAGGAGGCCAAACACCTCACTGTCAGTGCCTTCTAGGTCCAACCAGGAGAGCTGTGCAAAATTCGTGTCAAGAAGGTTGTGACTTTCAAAATACTTTCCTTTCTAGAGGCTGTTATCTGTGACACTAATTTTACTCTGAGTGGGATGGGCAGAATCTTTGGCACAGAGGCCTGTCGGAGTCACACTGCCATGCTGCATCTCTGGTCTTTGAGGCACAATTTTCCTGGCAAGAGAGACCCAGGTTCCTGTCGGTGTCTCCTGGCCCGCGGGCACCTTCTGATGGGGACTGTGCGAGGGAGGAGGCAGAGCTTCCCCGTTTCCGGAGGAACAGGACTGGGGCTGCTCTCACCGCCCTTCCAGGGAGCTAAATATATTTGCCACTGGTGAGCTGTTTGTAATTAATGTGTGCTTTGTGGTTTTAATCTTTCTTTAATCTGCAAAGCTATAAAAATTTACAGCACAATTTTAGAATCAAGAAAAAGCTAAGTTGCCTGGTAGAGTCCTTAAAGATACCCTGTTTTCCTAGATCAAAACTGCCAGGGGTGGTGCAGGAAGGCTCTTCCTGAGCTGTCCTGCTGGCTTCTCTTGGTGGTCTTGTTTTGGCCCTACCCAGGAGTCATCGGAAGCAGGAGAATCATCTCTCCAAAGAAAATAAACAATACAGTGTGTGCCATATAAAACGAAGGGAAGAAAAGAACATCTTAGGTAAATACCAGACTACTTATTTTATGATTTTTAAATGTCATTTTTGCTCCAATATTGACTTTTTATGGAGGATGAATTATAGATCTGTAGTGCGGGGGAGATGGGTTTCTTTTTCTTTGACGCAGCCGGTCAAGTTAAGCATTGAAGTCTGGTAATTAGTTAGGAGTTTCTTAGCCCACTGAGAAAACTGGGAGGTGACCCTCGGGAGAAGACAATACACCCAGGAAAGAGCCAGAATGGGCCAGAAAGAAGCACAAAACAACATCCCAATCTTGTTGCTACAAACAGATGTTGCCGCGGGCACTTGCCTGCAAGAACAAAATACAATACCGATCCCTCGCGTGTCTGACTGGGTTTCTGTCTCTGAAAAGGAGTTTGGAGGCAAATTATTTCAGGGTTGTAAGGGCTGGTAAAAGGCAGGGAGATTGGAAGTGCTTGTCATCTTTGGTGACCTAAGGTCTCAGAAATGAGGCTGAGAGAAGCAAAAGGGGTTGAGCTGGGGTCAAGGGGAGACCTGGAACCAGCAGTGGGGTCAAAGGATGGCGGAGACAACCACATTTCCAAGCAAAGTTTTCAAAAACCTAGCTAGAAGGAGCAGATCTGAACTGAGGTTTCTGGAGGGCAGTCACAGGAGGCTAAAGGGGAAAGAAAGAGAGAGAAAACCGAGTTAGTCCCCCCCTGCCCTGCCCTCCACTCGGATTTTGATTGTTCTCTTACTGTCTATGTACAAGACATGCAGACTTAAAGCAATGTAGATTGAATTAGTTCAATTCAATTTACATAGACAAAAAGAAGTTAATTCAGACAAAGGGGTTAGGATTCAGTGGGGGTGGAATGGGAGAAAATCCTTTTGTTGTGTTTGGAAAAGTTGTTTGTTTTTTAAGCTGAGTTGAATGGATGACCTTGTCTTTCAGTTTCTTTGCGTAGACATGGAAGTCTACAGCACTTTTATGATTTATTTTGCCAAAAATCATATTGTTCTTGAGAAACTAAAAGCAAGTATTACCACAAACCTCTAATTACTTAAATTCTGAATTTATTTTTCATGTATCTTCCTTGCTTATAACAATGAGCCATTTCTAGGGGCAAACAATACAGCTTGAGAATAGCTGGTATTTATTGAAGGCCGTTGTGTGTCTGGCACTGTATTTGTAACAAAAGTATGACTCAGTGTGCATTTATATAAGTTTATGTAATACTTCATCCAAGTTTGTATATGCCGGGTGGCAGACGTGTTTTAAGAGATTATATCGGTTACATCATTGGACCTCCCAGCTGCAATATAGGCAATATCTCTCTACAGATAAGAAAACTGTGGCCCGGTAAAGTTAAGTGATTCGTCCCCAAATTATGCAGGTAGCAGGTGACAGAATCAATATTGTTGCCAGACTATGGGTTTGGATCTGGGCTGTTATCTGTGACACTAATTTCATATCCCTTGAAAATCGTAGGTACGGTGGTCATGTTTCCATTTTACAAATAAAAAGAAGGAGATTCAGGAATTTAATTGTCTAGTGAGTGGGAGAGTCAGGATTCAAATTCAAGCCTGAGGAAATCCTACTATAGCTAGAAGAGGAACCACAGCAGGAATGCGTTGGAAGACCTGAACCTTTTGAACTTTCTTGTACACATGACTGGCCTGAAGATTTTGTTAAATATGAGTTCTGATTCTATAGTCCTTGACTTGGGCTCAGGGTCTGTAGAATATTCCAGTGTCACTCATCTTAACCTTGAATTTGCTGCTACTGGGTTGAACTGTCACCTATGTTGCTACCTTGAAAAAAACTGAAGCCTTGATGCTGATAACTACATGTTCTCAGCTGTCAGCCATCAAGGTTTTAGATATTTTCAACAGCCAAGAGGGGTCCAGACCAGCTAGACCAAGCAAACACCACATTGACACTCTAGAAAGTCTTGGGTTCATTATAAACTCATTATAATGATAAAAAACCAAAAACCAAGCCCAAACAAAAAACATCCACCAGCAACATGACAGATCTGACTACTACCAAGTCAGGGAAGAAAAAAAGTAGGATCCTGATTCTTGGGAATATCCACCTTTTCTTTTGAAAAAATGAGTGATGGTATGTATATTGTACCCCAGATAGCCCAGCCCTGGTAAAAAACCAGGCACCACTGCCCCAGGACATGGTAACTTTAGAGCACGAGCTACCCTTTTCCATACATTAAATAAAAATTCTCACCTGCTCCTATTTGATTATTTGAAAACGGTATTGAGTAAGAAAAGAAGCTGTAAGTTGGGTAGCACCAATAAAGATGTTACTGTAACATAGACCACACTTTGAGAAATAAGGTTTCAGGGTTGGGACTATGAAAGAGAAGGTTCCTGAGGTGGAGTCTCATCCTGCCAGTGTCTGTGGAGAGGGCGTGTTGGAAGCAATAAGTAAACCAGGCATGGCAAATTTAGCTTGGAATTCTGCAAAGTAAATTTGCTGTTTTCTTTCTGTAAGCAACACCAAACCTATTGAAATCTGACAGTTTTTTTCATCAGCAAAACCACTTACACTCTTTTTAATTGACTAACATCCATAGCACTATAAATTTTATCCTAAATTTTATCATTTTCTCTATAAAATATCCCTTTAAATTTCTATGTAAACATACCTTCCTTTTTGATTTGCATTTATGTTCTTATGTTCTGGTCCACCAAATAAACTCAAATTGGTCTTCAGCTAAGAATGTGTAAGACACTTCGTGTTTAATACTTTATTCGGATGGCATCTTAATTACTTATATTTAGAAGTAAACCTGGAATCCCATTTTACCTATTTCTTTTCCATCAGAACATCCTCCACTTAATTCATTATCTTGCATTTCCTGAAGTATTCCTGTCTTCTGACTTTGTTCATTCTTTTCCTTTCTTTATAAAAGCTGAAACTAGATTCTGAACCTTAAATCTATATGTCAACTGTGGCTTATCCAGCCCTGAGAAGGCAGGAATACAGTATCCTGGAATTCATGATTTATGCCAAACTCCCTCGTCCGTCTCGCATCTACTGCCAACTGAGCTGAAAATTGAAATGCTGGCTCTGTCTGTGGGCTCAGACTCTGTTCCTCTGTTGTGTTAACTAATTCATTACTAACCCTAGCTCGAGTGTTTTGCTTACCCAAGAGCACCTCATACTGAAGAGCTTAAAATTCACCTACAGTCTCTATTTCTTTCATTCATTGATCAACTTTATCAGGGTGCTGTCCCTCTGGGTACCGATTTCTCCCCCATTGCGTAGCATCCTAATCAAAGCTCACAGGCACACTGCACTCCTTCATTACCTGGAAATATGCAATGTTCACAAGTCCTCCTGATAGAAATGCAGCTCAATAGCCAAATGAGGTGGGTCATGTTATTTGACCCACCCTGGGACAGTTTCAAGAGTGTTATTATTAATACACTGCCAAGTCTTGAGGTGATGGGAAGAGTCCCATCAGAGCCCAAAGAAGTTTTTGAGGGGGGGTCACCCCTTCTACATACGAATGCAGTCTTGCAGATGACCATTGGTAGACCTATGATGAGAAGTACTCAAAGCATTGTTCAAACATGGGAAAATGATAACAAGTTAAGCTGGATCACCATGATTAGGTGCCCCCAACAGGTAGTTAATTAATACTCTCTTGACCTTTGTTTCTAGCCACCCATTTCACATTGTACCTACGTATGCGTAACTGTTTGCATTTGAAATACGCTGTATGCACACTGTATCTGTCATCTGGAAATTCAGATTCATTGTAATTTAGCTTTCCAGCCTTATTACATTGGAGTTATGGTTATTGTAGGGCGTGTTTTCTGCATATGCTACAGAGATGGTGTGGACAAGATCCATGAGTTCTTCATCCACCCATGGCATCATAACTCCTCTTTACACTTGATTTTCCCTTGCATGGTTTCAGTTACCCATGGTCAATGGTAGTCTGGAAATACATGGAAAATTTCAGAAATAAACAGTTCATAAGTTTTAAATTTCCCGGTTGTTCTGAGTAGCAAGATGAACCCTCGTGCTATCCCTCTCCTTCCTGCCTGAGATATTTATCTTCTGTTTGTCTGGAGTGTCCACACTGGTATGTGCTACCCACCCACTAGTTACTTAGCAGCCATCTCAGGTTATTAAATTTACAGCATCCCAACACTTGTTTTCAGGTAATTGTTATGATATTTGTTAATGGCCCCAAAGCACAAGAGTACAGAAGTAAAGTACACCCAATGCATGAAAGGAGAGATGAACTCTGGTCTATGCTGCAGTGCTGCAGGGAACTTAGGAAAAACCATAGTGTAAGGTTCAGTGCAGTTCATGGTTTTGGCCACCCTGACCTTTGGGTTTCACACTCTTCTGAGAATAATTCTGCCTCTTATTAAGAACTCTCAATCTAATTACTCAGTTTGCTGTACAACTGGTTGTTTTTCATGGATTACATGGCAAATCTCATCATGTAGACCTTATAACAAACTATTCACACTATCCAGGCTGTTGCTGTGTTCACTTAGTAGTCTTACTGGATACAACATGTTTATTTTAAAAGAGGAAAATACTCCCCAAACTTAAAAATGGGAAGAACTTCTATGATACCAATTTATCTTCATTTACAAAAGCCTTTTAAGAGGTCTGGCCATGTCAGGACTAGTCTTGTTTGGGTGCCTCTCGCCTGCAGGAGTTGATGGGGTGTCTGCCAGCACTGCCTTTTAACCTTCTGAGCAACTTATTCACTGCACGTCTGCATATTTAAATCACAGGAAGGATTCCCAACTTGAAGACCTACAAAACACATTGGATGCCTTCGTGAGGTCAGGGAAGAACAGCTAAGGTTAATGTGCTCAGATTCCTGCTCTCTCTTTTTCTTTTTTTACTAGCTCTTCTCCATTGTGCTGCACACATTACATCTACAGGAAAGTGGTGTGACCCGAATACACAAGTTGGATCCCACAGCATGTGACTGACAACACTATTCATGAAGTGGTCCAAAGAATGCTGGCCAACATCTCATGAGCCCTGAAAAGTCATAAGATCCTGGAGACAATTATCACAATCAGTGAGTTCCTCCCTCCTGCAGAAACTGGTACAAATGGTATTTAGGACACATCATGGGTGTTGCTTCTGAATCAAGAAAGCCCCTTTGCAGCGGTCTTAAAGGGGAGGTGAACTCTGCCTCAAAGAGCCCTCGGTCCCCTCTTGCCAGAATCTGTTAAGTCTTCTGTGTCTCTGAGCTCAGCAATGACAGGAGAGTGCTGCATTGCTGTCACTTGGCCAATCTGCTTCTTACGGAAGGTCATCTGTGAGCTGGGGCAGCTTGCTGATTGACACTGTCCTCACTGCAATGGGTGATGATGGTTAAATGCACACATGGGCATCCGGGCTACATTTCCCACTGGGGTCACATACATGCAAACACATGAATGTATATATTTAATTGGGTTATAATCTATTGACCATAGATACCAAGGCACTGAGCATGCAATTAGCAAAACAGCTTTGACTAAATATAGTTAGCACTAAATATAGTTGGTTAATTGGTATTTAATATGCTTATTAAATGTCAATTAAGTATCTTTAGCAATGAATTGGTACCTAATTAACTTACTATAGCTATCCTGTTACTTGACATTTGAACAGCTAAATATTCTCTACAAGTTTAATGTTTTAATAAGAAACAAATTATCCATGTATTGCTCATGAATTTTTCAGTTAGTTTAATGGGATTTAAATGTATCTCCCAACTTGGATACATGTTTTTCTTATAATCAACTGGTATTTTACATTTCAGATGTCTTTTGCACTTGGAAGGCTGATTACATGAGAGAAAAAGGCTGTAGAA